TAGACTTTACTTCCTACATCGGCTATTCTCTTACTCTATTGTTATAGTGGCCTCACCTGGGCGTATCTCCGTACCTAAGGATTGCAGTACATACTCCGTGGTCACCTGGCCTGTCCCAAGCCCAATTTTCCTGATAACGATCACTCAAGGTCATTCAAAGACTACCTGCCAAAGTATTGAGTCTGTTCAATTTCATCTTGTACATAGGTACTCGGAACTAAATTCTATTAAGATCTACCCGTTTTCGTCCTCCCTCTCTCAAGTAGATTTATTCCCAGAACTCTAGAGAGATAAAGACGGATAATCAGCAGTCGGGGTACCGTGAGGTAGTTACTTCAGCTGAGACTTTGAAAGGACGATATATTTCGCGATCCAATAAATCTGCGCTCGACAATTTCGTGGTGCCCTAGGTTGACTTGAGGGTTTTGCGCTTTTCTGCTCCTAAAGCGGGAAATCCGGCATGAGCTTCGGCCAAGTAAGAGCGTGTCTATACAAGGTGGCTCACGTATGTAGCCAAGGCTGAAGTATTTCTTCCGGGACCAGCGGTTCCCAAGACCAAGAGAGGATTGCCTCCGAAAGTTAAGACTTTACATGCTACTATCGTGGTAGCTGAGACGAGCCATTGGGGTAAAGGGGAGGGAGGTTGCGGGTTACCTTTGGAACACTTCGAGTGTAGGTAGTTACACAGCAATGCAGAAACTCAAGCATAGGCAATTAACAAAGATATTTTGCTCAGAAAGAGGAGATTGACGAACAGGTTCGTACTCTCTCCAAGAATCTTGTCTCCCTCTTGTCTCCCTCTTGGCCCCCAAACTCCTCGGCCCCTCCTCCCATTACGACGCGGTGTCATGCTGACTAGCTTCACCTCGCCGCCCTCGGATTCATACACAAACGATCCACATTGAAAAGACAGGGACTCTACAACAAGAAGGTCAATATCTCAACCCCCTACCCCCGGCGAAACCATTGTTGGTTTAGCCAAAAGATTTTCCCCTGCAGAGTCCATATCGAAAACTCACGTCAGCATCTTAACAAGAACAGCCATCCGCCGGCGTCTCTTCCTCATCCTGCAGGCTCGCCTTGTAGGCTCGTCCGTGACCACGACAGCGGGCGGGCAACGACATGACAAGGGAGAAGTACAACAATCACAGCATGTACGAAAGTTCCTCTTGGCCTCCTCGCAAAATGACAATTTGACACAGAGTCTGGGCCCAGGTTACGTCCCGCCTCGCGCCTGCATACTGTATCCCTCCGCCTCCCCGACGTTAATCAACATGGTGAACGAGGCCTACGGAGCAGTCGTGTCAACAATGGCTTCGCTTCTCGGCACGAATCGATCAGGAAGCATTGCCCAATGGTTGGTACCAAATCATGGGTCAGGGTAGTTGCGAGTGTCTCGGCGTGGGGGGACAGGCCAAACTGTTCTTGGCCAGCCTCGGAAATGGGTAGCGGGTGAGGCGATTTGTATCTAGGAACCACCAAAAGATCTGCTCGGGCAAGTGATGTCACCGCTACAGCTGACGCTCCGTCTTCTACCCGATATGCGAAAACTGAACAAACAAAGGGAATTGGATGACTGGCTTATCGACGTTGGTATATTCGTATGTCGCCCCGGAAGAACCAGCATCTACTCCGGTAAATTACTCGGCCGCAGATGCCGCTATCAAAACTTCGAGGCATCCAGGTGATGTACCCGTAGCCTAATCTAGAGGAAAACACAGGAAACCGGCACCTATGGAATCGCCAGGGGCTTGCCGAGTACCGACGCGTGGTCACCTGTCTTGGGGACCGTTGACGTGCCGGCCAAGGGAATCGTGACTCGCAAGAAATGAGATTGTGTGTCTCAGATTCCATTGCTCTGCCATCTTTCTTATTTGATACTGCTACAGAGCAGTCTCTTATTCAAGGGATACAGGCGTCTCCTGAGATACACATGCCTGGGTCCATTCTGTAGCAAACAGTAAATGCCAGGTCTCATTCCTTGACTCAGACGCTGATCGAGATTGAAGGCCAGACCCGAGAAAACGGAGGTCAAAAGTTTGGGATGGAAAGCACACGTGTTGCCTTACACAACGCTTCTTGGCATCATGAGACGCTGGGGACATATATTGGAGGAGCGGTCCCCTGACAGAAAGATTATCTGATTGATAATGTGATCCTGTGGCCAGGGCCTGGTCGAGTAAGAAGAGGCCGATCGCCCAGGTGGGCACGGACAAAAGCCGCCAAGATGTGCGATGTACAGATACAAAATGACTGATTTCCTGTCGGTCAACAAGGAGGCATCACAGTCTTGCGAAGAGAGCGGCTCTTGACCTGTGAAAGTGAGAGCAAGACTGCGAGGGCAAGCAAGACTGCGAGGGCAAGCAATCCGAGTGTGCCATTCGGTCAGGATCAGCGCAGAGTATGTGGGTAGACCGGAGCTACCTTAGCTGGTAGTCGATATCCAGGATGATATGATGTACTTTAGAGTTCCCCGGACAGTAGTTCGTCTTCCTGACCGCATCTGCGCTGTAACGTCAAAAGAGGAGAGAAGTGACAGGGCTTCGTCGACGACCCTGCGCTTGGAGAGAGGGAACAGTTCCCCGGGCCAGGAGTAGGACAGGTCGGAGTCGAGTAAGTGGGTGCATAGCTCGGAGCCGCCGCAACGCCGAAGCCATCATTGCAGGCTTGCGTGCTGCAAGCCGTTGAACACGCGAGGCCCGCCTCTTATCGAACAATGGCTGGGCCAATCATGAGCTACCGGGACGGTGATGGTTGATTTGTAGCGCCTTCAACCCCCGCAACCATGCCATTGTGTGCTTCAGCCGGCTGCATGTAGGCATAGGATGAGACTAAGAAATAGTGCCCATTGGCGTTTTCCTCCAGAGGGCTGCAGCCATCGGGTGGTAGCGTCTTGTCCAAGTTGTAGCCGTGTCAAGTTGGTGGTGGTGGAAGGTGACAGGGTCCAGTTGACAGAATAGTGTTTGTAGTGGGCGGTCCCGAATGGCGGTGAAGGTGAGTCAGAAGCCGTTGATATGTAATTTCTTTGTGGCGGCCGAGTGCCGTTCTTTGAGATGGGATTATGGGCCTAGGGGCCACGATAGAGACGAATTTGGGACGGGGGTTGTAGTAAAGGATCTGGTTCCCTAGCATTATCTTGCCTCAACGGGAAGGTCGAGCATTTGGCAGTGATGGTGCCTGGAGATGCGGGCTGATGGGGGCTCGATTAGTCGATTCCGATTCAAGAGGGTCGAGTTCAGATATGCTGAGTCCAAGCGATGTTGCGTGATTCGCCTGGGCTACCTTCGTTCTGAAAGACAGACAATTGAGGGGTTTTGGGGTGCATTGCAGAGAGCAGCCGCGTGATGAACGGATAAGCAGATCGATTGACGTGATTGGAGTCTACTGGCAGGTCATGAGGCTTCGGTTTCGCCATGGGGAATGCGCGCCTATCGTTCTTTGGAGTCTGGCCTGGATCGCGGAAACTTTTGCCGGCGTTCCTAATACTGAGGACATTCATTGTTTGCTATTGCTTGGGTCCATTCTGTCGAATTTGTCAAAGACTGGGATGTACACTTAAGCCATTGTATGGAAGCAGTTCTTCTCGTGCTATTTGATGCCCCACCGGCTTGGAAATTTGCGAGGCATGACAGGACGCTTCCAAAGCCCTATGCCGTCGCAGCTTGCATCCGGAGGCATCCTTCCAATGCGGTCAGCACATAGTATCGGGGGCACTGAGTGTCGGGCAAAGAGCTGCACAATGCATCCGTAGTGGTTGCAGGCCAAGTTGGCTTCTGACGTTGGCGGCGGGAGCGGCAGCGGAGACGGCGCACCGCATGTTCCTGGGCCTAGGTCGGGAGACGTTGGAAAGTTTGAGCCTCGTGGCGGCTATTCTCAGTCTTCACAGGCTGCCCTCGTCAGAGCAGCTGGATAGAGGTGGGATGTTCCTGGTCAAAGGCATTGTGTATGCCCGTCAGCCTGGGTTGCAGGCAGCCTTTTCCTCAAGATTTGGCGGTGGAACATTGGCGGACAGACAGCTGAGCATGACATAGTCTCGCAGAGTACAGACGAGAGGCGTGAGCGCAGATGGCCTTGATGTTGGCGGGTACCGAGATGCCAGTGTGGGATTCGCGGTACTTTGTAGGTAGGTCAAGGTGATGTAAGACACTCCATCGGTGCCCACCACTTGGGTAGAAAGTCTGGAGCTCTGGCTTGGCTTGAGACATGATGCTGATCTCATCGGTGGTTGCAAGCGGGAGCTGTCACAGGCCAGTCGCAAGTCGAATAGCCGCAAACGTGTTTCTTCGTTTTCTGCTTTGTTGGCCTGATGTGCTGCAGTTATCAGGGAGTGTCGCTGCTGCTGATACGGCGTTGCCTATGCCGCCGTTTCCTGCAACAATAAACACGACGTGGTGGAGCAGAGGAGCGTGGAAAGGCTACCAGGCCGACGGTGGGAGGCAAGCATCTGCCTGCGGGGGGCCGGGCTGCTGGGAGCAACGTCCATGGCTCAGGGGTGCATGGCTGGTGATTGCAGGACGAATGTTGGATGAATGGATGAATAGGTGAGGATGGAGACAGGAACGTCGCAAGTGTCAAGGAGAGAATTATATCGTCATATCAAGGAGGGAAGGAGGACGATGCGAGACTCACGATGGCTTCCTTCCTTTGGGTCCCTTCCTTGGGCTGTGTCCTCTGTGCTGTGTTACATGCAACGGTCTTTCCTATTGTTTATTCGCCCTTGCCGTTTCTGACAAGCTCCAGAGGCACTAAACAGGTACGTACCGGTTGATGGCTTGCCGATGAAATTTCTTAATCTTCGGGTTGAATTCCAGAGCTCAAGCTCCGGTACGTACCGAGTCATAGTGGGGCCCGAGCTTTTCCATGTCACCAACCACGCAAACTGGGACCTGGGACCTGGAAGGTGCGCTCTGGACCCGGTGGGAGAATGGGAAGGGGACAACAGGGAAAGAAGTATCCGTAGAAGAAGAAAAAAAGAAAGAAAGAAAGAAGGAGACAGTTTACCTACCTTAGGCAAGGTACTCCGTACTTGGATCACCTAAGGTACCTACACAATACCTTACATCATCTTCGTGGAATCGGAAACAGAGTCAGTGTACCCAGCCTTTCCAGAGACTCATTTCACCCAAATATGAAGCTTGCCGACAAGCGCGCACGTTATCGGCATGGTGGACTCTTTTCTTTCTTTTTACGGCGTATCCGTACCGAACAGTAACTGGACGCTAACAGTGAACAGATAACATTGACGGCCCCCCCGCCCGGGTCTGACTGCCTGACTGCACATGGTGGGGGGGGGGGGGAAGAGGGACTCCAGAGTTCAAACAATCGAGCCATGCAAGGCGAGACATGGGACAGCAACCATTCTGGACTATGGATATGCATCCCGCACAAAGCAGCAGGGCAGCACATGCTTGCCAGGAATTGGAGCTTCCCACTGGTCGAAGGCTCCATGCTGCTATCGTCGTGCATGTGGGCGGGGAGGCATGACCCTGCACACCCTGGCTCGACCTGCACTGCACTGCACCTCGGGGTACGGAGTGGGAGTACGGAGTGCCATCTGCATGCCTTCATTTTGTTGTACGGATACTCTGCATTCATTGCGTCGTCTTGTTGCTTGTCTCGTTGGCTTCATTCCTCCGGACGAGCCATCGGCAGCCTGCGGCGTCATGTTGAACATACGTGGTATACGCTATTATCCGTGCCTTGCCTAGTACTCTCTGAGTCTCCGATGATGAGCAAGGCAAGGCTTACAAGGTGCTCCATACCTACGCCAGAACAGACCACCGTGACAACGAGGGACGAGTCACGACAACAAGGCGGGACGACCAAGGGCGATGGACGAGAGGGACGAGGACAAGCCCTGTACGAAGTATCGTTGAGAACCTTCGTCTTCACACACACACACACACACACACACACACACAGACTCTCAGTCCCGGCCTCCGACAACCACAGTGAACATACAAAGTACACATCATCCAGACTCAACTGTTATTACGCAGTACCGAGCAGACAAGCCAGACAGACACTGACGCTTGCACGCTCGCCCCCTCCACACCTTTTCCCTCCCCCTTCAGGCTTCCCCTTCAGGCTTCCCCTTCCCTCGCTTTCTCGGATCCAGAGCCAAGGTACCTTTGCTGGGTCCCGCTCCAGCTGCTAACCCATTGTTGCTCGCCGCGGACTGTCTCGTTGCTGCTCCGGCCTCGTCTTCCCTGCGCTGTGCGGATACCTGTACCTACCTTTCTAGCCAAACGGATCCAAACTCGGACCAAATGTGAGTGTCACTGTGGATATCCCAACTTGTTCTTGTCCACCGGGCAGGAAACTCGACATGCTTCCATGATCCAGGACAGACCTTTCATCCATTGTCGCCGTCGTCAGTCATACACTTGTCGTCGTTGCCCTGTGCTAACCTTTGGAAGCTCCATACAAACAGGCAGACTTGTCTTGAGTGTCTGACACAGAGAGACGCACCAAGGAAAAGAATAGCCCGAGGGATGCAATCCCAGGACTGACGTGACAGACTGAGAGAGAGCCCCGGGGCCGAAGCCAGCGAAAGAGCCAGAGCCAGAGCCAGAACCACTGCCAGCCAGTCCAGGAACTTACCTTAGCTTTTCTTTCCGTTGACCTCCCCACCACCCAAAAACTCTCGATTCTGCAACAACTTGGGCTCTTCTCCCTCCAACTCTTTTCTTTTCCTCTCTTCCTTCTTTTTTTGTTTTCCCCTCCCCCTCCCCTCCCCCCCTTCCCGCGTCACAACTTGGGCATCTACAGATCCCGCCTGCGATCTCGGGACACAGACGTCCTGCCGACTGACTCCCTTACTCCCCCTCTCTATCAGCCAGAGGGAAAACAACAACAATAACATACAGCAGCGCGGTCGATACCTACGCCCTGGCCGACGTCAGTTTGGTTACTGCTGCTGTTTCTCTCTCCTCGCCTCGCCCAGGTCCGAGGTCGGCTCCCACAACCCGCGTTCTCTTTCGACCGCTGCGAACCGAACCGATACGCCGTTACCAAAAAAATCCCATCCCGTACTACCCCAAACGACTCCAAACTCCAACTCCAATCGCCATCAGAGCTCAGCCATTGATCGCTATCTTTTTGGCGTTTCTCCCCGCCACCCGGGAGTGGGGTACTAGCAAACATGGGCAGCTTTGCTCAGTGCAGCTGGCCGATATGGGACATTGATGATCTCACACCGTGCTTCCAGCAAGAGTGAGTCTTTCTGTCCCCAAGCCCGCCTCCTCACCAGGTCGCATCACGGCGCAACAAATTGCGATGCCCTCAACCCACCAATGCCGACTGCACTTGACCTGCGGCTCGATGGGCCAGCCGAATCGGTTGCCCAACATACTTGTCTCGTGAACTAACCACACATCTCTCGTAGCTACCTCAAAATCCTGTTTCCTCTGATTGTCATAGGCTTCTCTTTGCTTCACCTCAGCCTACAGGCGCTCCGAAGCGTCGCGAAGAAACGCAAGCAAGGCTACGAGCAAGTCCCGGAAGAGCACCACCACGGCCACACCGACATTCCTCCCGAGGAGACTGAAGATGAAGATGACGAGGCGCTGACTATGAACGGCGGCGGTCGCCTCGCTCTGGTCAAGACTACCACCAAGGGATCCATTGTTCAGGCCGACAGCCCCCCCGCCCAGAACTTGACCATTGTCGTCGAGGAGCTTGGAATCGCTGGTCTGATCGCGATACACATTGTTGCATTGGTTACTGGGACTGTTCCGGGTCAGCATGGTTTCTTGGTCACCATCGTCGGTCTGGTCACCTGGGTTTACGTCGCCATTCTTGCTACTCTGCGACTTTTCCTCGGCAACACGAAATGGCGCGTTCCTCGCATCTGGAACCACACCGCCGCCATCTACCTGTTCCAGTGGTTGTTCACAGTCGGCATCTTCCGCTCTGTCATTATCCACCCCAGCAGCCGCCTTGCGCAAACACTCGTCATTGTCGAGTTTGTCTTGACTTCGTTTCTCTTCGGTCTGGCGATTACGACCCGCAAGGGCAACAAGACGGTGCTATTGGAATGGGAAGGCGAAATTGAGCCCTCGCGCGAGCCCCTCGCCTCTCTCTTTTCCCTGGCCACGTTCTCCTGGGTGGACCCCATCATCTCCCGCGGCTACAAGGAAACACTGGAAATGAAGAACGTTTGGAACTTGGTCCCCAAGGAGAAGGCTGCCGCGGTCCTTGCCGACTACCGGGCAATGAAGAGAACCTCGACCCTGGCTTGGCACTTGCTCAAGTACTTCAAGGGCGAGCTTCTGCTGCAATTCGCCCTGGCTGCTTTCGCAGGCATCTTCACCTTTGCTCCGACGTTGCTGCTCAAGGCCATCCTTGAATACGTGGAGAGGCCCGAAGGCGCTCCCATCAACGTCTTGTGGTTGTACGTGATTCTCTTGCCAGTCCTCGACATTGTCAGGTCTTTCGCCGACAACTACGCCCTCTGGATTGGTCGCAAGATTTGTATTCGCATCCGCGCCATCATGGTTGGTGAGATTTACGCCAAGGCCCTCCGACGCAAGGCCTCGGCCGGCAAAGACAAGGAACTGGGAAAGAAGGCGCCTGCTGCTGGAAAGCAGAGCTTGATTGGAAAGATCAAAGCGAAGCTCGGTTTCAAAAAGGACAAGGCAGATGCTGAGGCTGCCGCTAACGGCGCCGCCAAAGACCCGGCCAAGGACGACGAACAAGCGAACTTGGGCACCATCATCAACCTCATGTCGGTTGACAGCTTCAAGATTGCCGAAGTCACGGCCTACCTGCACTTCATTTGCGCGTCCGCCCCGACCCAGCTTGTCGTGGCCATCGTCTTGCTCTGGGATGTCATGGGGCTCAGCGCCATCCCCGGATTGATTGTGATGGCTCTGCTCCTGCCTATCAACTACAGCTTCGCACGAGGCTTCGCCAACACGTCCAAGAAGATTCTGGGTGCTACCGATAAGCGCATCAATGTGACCAACGAGGTTCTCCAGAACATTCGCATCATCAAGTACTTCGCGTGGGAGGCCAAGTTTGGCCGTATTGTGGACGAGAAGCGTGCCGCCGAGTTGAAGGCTCTTCGATCCCGTTACGTCATCTGGTCCTTCGCCGTTGCTGTGTGGAACTCGGTCCCCGTTCTCATCACGTTCTTCTCCTTCTTGATGTACACTCTCATCGAGCATAAGCCGCTCTACCCCTCGGTTGCGTTCACTGCCATCTCCCTCTTCATGCTCCTCCGTGTGCCTCTTGATCAAATGGGAGACATGTTTGCCCACGTTCAGGAGACCAAGGTCTCCCTGGACCGTGTCGAAGAGTTCCTTACCGAGGAGGAGACTGAGAAGTACGAACAGCTCGGCGAAGATAACGTTGACGAGGACGGAAATAAGGTCATTGGCCTTCGCAAGGCCAACTTCATCTGGGGGGGCAAGGACGTTGTCGCAGATGACGGATCGATGGCTTTCCGCCTCATGGACATGGACGTTGATTTCCTCATTGGCAAGCTCAACATCATTTCTGGACCCACCGGCTCTGGCAAGACGTCCATGCTCATGGCCTTGCTCGGCGAAATGACTTTGGTCGAGGGTAAGGTCTACTGCCCGGGTGGCCGTAGCCGTGAGGATGTTCGACCTGACCCTGAGACGGGTCTGGCTGACACCGTTGCCTATGTCGCGCAGGCTGCATGGCTTGTAAACGCCAACATCAAGGACAACATTTTGTTTGCTGCGCCGTACGACGAGAAGAGATACAGGGATGTGATTGTGGCATGCGCTCTGGAGCGTGACCTCGAAATTCTTGACAACGGTGATGAAACTCTGGTTGGCGAGAAGGGTATCACCATGTCCGGTGGCCAGAAGCAACGCATTTCGCTCGCCCGTGCCATCTACTCTAACTCCCGACACATCTTCTTGGACGACTGTCTTAGTGCCGTTGATTCCCACACAGCACAATGGATCTTCAACAACGCCATCAAGGGTCCTTTGATGGCCGGCCGAACCTGCATCCTGGTCACTCACAACCTCCAGCTTTGTGCTCCTTCATCGCACTATGTTGTCTGTCTTGAGAATGGCAGAATTGCCGCTCAGGGCCCGTCTGCCGAGCTGATTGCTGCCGGCAAGTTGGGCGAAGATGTTCAGAAAGCCGCCATCAACTCTGCCTCGGTGTCCCGAATTCCGTCCCGCGTTCCCTCTAGCGTTGGCGAGGATGGGTCAGAGACTGTGGTCAACCCTGGCGATGAAAGCGCCAGTGACGCCCGATCGAAGAAGAATGACAAGAAGAAGGAACAAAAGGATGCCATGGAGGAGAAGAAGGCCGTCGGCTCTGTCAAGTGGCCGGTCATTCAACTCTACCTCTCCTCTATGGGCGCTTGGTGGTTCTGGGCTGTTGCGCTTACAGTCTTTGGACTCCAACAGATGTCCGGTGTCGCTACCAACTTCTGGGTGCGCGAGTGGGCTAACCAGTACGTTGACGAGGAGGTTGCGCACATTGATTTCTCGACCGCATCCCACAGCTACAGCCAGCAGTCCTTGAGCCCGACCTACTTCGCCTCCATTGCCAACTACGGCAACCGCATCAGCTCCAACTTTAGTGCTTCCACCGTTGCGGACGTGAACGTCACCTACTATCTCACCGTTCTCGCCATCATTGGTCTTGCCGGCTCTGTTGCTGCTTTTATCAGGGACATTTGGGTCTTCTACGGTTCGCTGACGGCGTCCAAGAAGATCCACAACGACTTGATTACTCGCGTCTCTCGGGCAAAGTTCAAATTCTTCGACGTCACTCCTCTCGGCCAGCTGATGAACCGTTTCAGCAAGGACCTCGAGGCTGTGGACCAGGAAGTTGCACCAATCGCTATCGGCGTTTTCGGCTGTGCTCTTGGAATTCTCGTCACAGTCGTCTTGATCACTATCATTACCCCGGGCTTCCTCATTGCGGGTGTTTTCATTACTGCTGCTTACTACTTTGTTGGCGCTTTCTATCTCCGGGCGTCCAGAGATCTCAAGCGTCTCGAGTCCGTCCAGAGGAGCCCTCTCTTCCAGCAGTTTGGAGAGACCCTGTCTGGCATGACGACGATCCGAGCTTACGGTGACGAGCGCCGCTTCATCCGGGAGAACTTGTCCAAGATCAACGTCCAGGCTCGCCCCTTTATCTATCTGTGGGCTGCCAACCGTTGGCTTGCGTTCAGGACTGATGTGCTTGGTGATACGGTTTCCTTCTTCGCTGGTGTCTTCATCATCTTCAGCTTGGGCACAGGCAGCGTCGATGCTGGCTCTGCCGGTATCTCCCTTAGTTACGCAATTGGCTTCACCGAGA